TGGTTTTGATAATCATATTTTAATACTATTTTATATTTTTATTCTGAAATATTAATTATATATATAGTTATTTATAAAGAAAGAGAAAACAAATAATTAATTATTGGTAACAACTCACTATTTAGTTTCTCTTTATAAAGAAAGAAAAGGAAGAAAGGTGCAAGGGGGAGAGAGGAAGGAAGCAAGGAAGGAAGGAAGGAAGGAAGGGAAGGAGGGAGGAAAGAAGGAAGGAAAGGAAACAATGACCACCCTAGTAGCAATAAGCACCCCCCATACCCAGGCTGTGGTCTCTAAATAATACTGTTTCCCATGAAGGAATGCCAGCTCCTTGGAAAAATGCTTAATTCCAGGGTTAGGGCAAGAAATACACAAGATAAGCCTAGAACATCTTGTCGTATCAGAAAATAAGGGGGCTGCTGAATATGACTGAAGGACTCATAAACCAAACTTGAAGAGGCTCCCACTGACCCAAACGGGACAATCTGAGCATTGATAAGAAAAATGCATCAAAGAAGTACCAAATATGTTTACTACAACCATTAATATGTTTAAACATCCGTAAGTTCAATATGCTACTTTAAACACATGAAGTGATCAACTTCGGCTGATGTGAAAAAACCAACTCACTGAAACTAGTAAAGAGAGAGAGAGAGAGAGAAATAGAGAGAGAGGCGCTTGTGAATCTAGCATCTATCTGGGCTTTCCTGTGCATACGATACATCAGGATAACCAAACTGTTGGTATTGGGAAAGTATTACAGTAAATAAATGAAGAAGAAATGAAAGAATATCACAGATCTAGACAATCATCTTCCAAGCTGTTAATGTCACAAAAATAGAGACAATGTGCGTCTTATGGAAGAGTGTGTTTTTTTTAAGCCATTATTTTTTTAGCAGTACTTACTAAAATATTTATGGATGATATGTTAGGATGTCTGTGTTTTCTTGAAAATAATCCAGGAAGGGGGCTGGGAGACCACTAAGGAGGTTGAGATACAGATAGAACAAAATTGGCCAATGGGGCTTCCCTGGTGGCGCAGTGGTTGAGAGTCCGCCTGCCGATGCTGGGGACGTGGGTTCGTGCCCCGGTCCGGGAGGATCCCACATGCCGCGGAGCGGCTGGGCCCGTGAGCCATGGCCGCTGAGCCTGCGCGTCCGCAGCCTGTGCTCCGCAACGGGAGAGGCCATGACAGTGAGAGGCCCGCGTACCGCAAAAAAAAAAAAAAAAAAAAAAAAAAAAAAATTGGCCAATGGTTGTGACAGCTGGGAGATGGTAAATGGAAGTTCATTGCACTGTTCTCTCTACTTTTGCATATGTTTGAAATTTTCCATAATCAATTTTTTTAAACTGATGAGGCTCTGAAGCCAAACTGCCTGGGTTTGAATCCCAATTCAGCTACTTAATAGAGATGTAATCTTGGGAAAATTATAGCAAGTTGTGTAACTTCTCTGTAACTCGCCTTCCCCATCTGTAAAAAGGGATGATACAAATGGCCCGTTATGAGGATCAAATGATATAATACATATAAAGTATCTAGAATAATTCCTGATACACAGTAAACACTTAAATGTTAGCTATTATCATCTTTAGGATCCACAAAATTGGATGAAGTCTGGGCTTAGAGTTTCTGCATTGTTAAATGGTTAAGATTGGCTCATGAGAAATTGTTATTCCTTCTTCTTACTGAGGAGCAAAACAGGCATCCAACAATCCCCTTTCCTCCACACAACAGTAAATAGACTCCAAAGACTGACCAATCTTTCAGTCTTCACCATTCTGATGCACTATCTGCTGCTCCCAAAGAAGGAGAGGCTTCAGGTCAATGCCGCCACGTGCTTCTCTCCACTCCCCAAGGGACTCCTCTTTCTCTCCCAGCACCATGTCCAGGGCCAGCCCACAGTCTCTCGCTGAGACCTCTAGTGGTGGTGCAGTTTAGCAGAAAACCAGTAGACTGGAGTCAAAAGCCCTGGATCTTCATCTTGTCTCTGTCCCTGAATAGCTGTGCAACCTTGGATAATGGCTTGATCTTCCCAGAATCTGGGCAACAAGATGTTGCCAACCTTTTTGGAACTCTTGTCTTGAAACTCCCTTTGCAGACTATTAGAAAGTTCTCGTGAGCCCCCTTCAATGACAGCAAACCTTCAGCCTCTGAGGGTAAAATCATAACCATACACAGCCAAGATGATGTGAATGAAGTACGTCATAAAGCTGGCTTTGGTTTAAAACCTGATGTAACTATTAATAAGGGAGATCAAATTTCCTTTTAGGAAGCATATACTGACTTTTAAAAACAGTCCTGAAGAAGAGCAGTGACCAAATTCCCAGATTAAACATAAATGGCTTCTTCAGAAGATGTCTGCCTTACAAAACTTTCCTTGCGCTATGTTTGCTAATTTTTCTTTAAGCCAACTTTGTTACTTTTAAATCTCACCTTAAAAAGAATCATAGTCATGCCACCTACAAAGTACTTGAGTGTGTGGGCTTTGTCCTTTGTATAGATGTACTCACGTAGGTAAATTTACAAGTCAAAAAATCATAAAATTATTCCTATTTCAATTTAACAGCTTGAAGAAATTCAGTACCAGTGGGAGCTTGACTGATGGTGTTTCATCCTCTGTAAAATGGGGCTCAAAGTAATATGCCTACCTCATAGGGTTGTTTTAAGGATTAAGTGAGTAAATATACGAAAAGTATTTAGACAAACTAGCTTATAATAAAAGCCATGTATGTGTTAGTTACTATTATCCTTATTAATGTTTCACTGTTTCCAGTTCTCAAAAATAAAATGTCTCTCATTCAGTTTCATTTTTCATTCATCCTGTTTATGGCAAATGTATTGATAGATTCATACCTGAGTGCACACACATTTCTGAGGATTTGAAAGGCTCTTAAAATTTCTTCCTATATTTAGGCAGGCATTCTTATCTTGATAGATAAGCTTATATGCAAATACATGGGTTTCTACATAAGGGCTCCAACACAGACACTGATTGTGGGATGACTACCTACTTCCGGTTTTCAGAAAATACCTATACATACCTATCAATCAGCAAATATTTACTGCATGCCAACTCTACCCAAGTTAATGTGGTAGGAAGTATGGAAATACAGGGAGAAAAAGGCACAAGCCTACTCCTGGGGAGGAGAGTATCCCAGTTGAAGAAGGAGAAACATTTGCATATGAATCTGGTGCACCAGTTATGGTTACAGGTCACCTGTGAGTGCTAAGTGACTGGGGCAAAGGTAATGATGTTCTTCCACCTGCAGTGGAAGAACAGGGGTGGGGAAAAGGCAGAGAAGGCTCTAGTGACCAGGATAGTTCAAAATCCTTTCGGAGAAGACGGACCTGAGCCGAGGCTTTAGCGATGAGTAAGATTCAGAAAAGGGAAAAGGAGGGGGAAGGGCATGAACAAAGGGAAGGAGAGATTCTGAGTGGACACTGGGATGACCACACAGACTCAAGCAGAGAGCTGGGGTAAAGAAATCGTGGCAGAGAGAGTTAGCACAGGTATCCAGACTCTGACACCAGCCTAAAGAATTTCAACTTTATGTCAGAAAGTGAAAAACAAATACCGTATGCTAACACATATATATGGAATAGAAAAAAAAAAAAAATGGTTCTGAAGAACCTAGGGGCAGGACAGGAATAAAGACACAGATGTAGAGAATGGACTTGAGGACAGGGGAGGGGGGGAGGATAAGCTGGGACGAAGTGAGAAACTGGCATGGACATATATACACTACCAAATGTAAAATAGATAGCTAGTGGGAAGCAGCCGCATAGCACAGGGAGATCAGCTTGGTGCTTTGTGACCACCCAGAGGGGTGGGATAGGGAGGGTGAGAGGGAGACAGAAGAGGGAGGAGATATGGGGATATATGTATATGTATAGCTGATTCTCTTTGTTATACAGCGGAAGCTAACACATCATTGTAAAACAATTATACCCTAATAAAGATGTTAAAAAATCTAAAAAAAGAATGTCAACTTTATCTCATGAGTGATACAAAGGTTATAAGGGTTTTGAACAAAGCTTTGACATGAGTCAAGTAGTATTTTAAGAAAATTTCTAGATTTGGGTCCGAAGAGCCTTCTATGGCTGAACTATTTGCAGATATGGGCATTTGTGATTCCTTTCTCTCCCATTTTCAAGAATTCTGTGGCCCGTTTGCCTGTGTTTACCACACTGTCGATTCATATAATCCCTCAGAGTTGAGTTCCCCTTTCCAAAACAGGACAAGACTGAGGTAGCAAGCACGTGATTTGCCAAAAACTAAATCCATCTCGTACTCAGACTGCATGGCCACGTGATCCTTCTAAATTGGGTACTGACAACTCCTCAGGCTCTGAAACTGTTAGAAGAGAGACACATGCATTCAAATGCCGGCTCTCTTCCCTTAGTAGATTGTTATGGAAATAGAGAAGCATTGCTTTTTGCTTTTTTCCTGACAGTAAAAACATTTTCTTGTTTTTCCTGATTATATAAATAATACATGCTTACTGTCAAAAATTAAAATACATCAAAGAATAAGGAAGAAATCACCTGGAGTCCCAATACTTCTGAGACAAACATCATTAATAGAGATTCACTTTCTAAGCACCTCAACGTGTACAAATACCTAAACCCACATATTTTGTAATTTAATCATGGTTTTCAGTAACGTGCTGGTAATGTAAATGCCTTACTATTTAGTCATTTTGTTGCCTTTCAACTTTCCCTTCTTCTCTTTCCCACCCCTCAGTCCTGCCCTTCCTATACCCAGCTTTATATACTTAGTGTGTATCTTCCATAATTTTATGCTCTTATAAACATACTACATATACATATATAGGATTTTTACATTTCATTGTTAAATTTGTAAAAGTAGCAGCCATCAAATACATTTCTCTGCACATATTTTGCCCACTAAATGGTGCATGATGAAAATTCCTCTGTTAAGTGATACTTAATTCATTCTTTTCAATATGTCATGAGATAATAATATTTATTGAGTACTCACTATGTGCCAGGGACTGTTTCCATATTATGTTGCCACTTCTACTTAATTCTCACAAAAACCTTCTGAGATTGGTATTGCTGTTGTCCTCATGTTATGGCTGAGAAAACAGAGACATAGAAGCTTAGCACCATTCCCGAGGCCATTCATCATACATGTAAGAAGAATATAGGGATTAAAGCCCAGGCAGTCTGACACAAGAGCCGTGCTGTTCACCCCTATACCACACGGCTGAGCCAGGCACGGTGCGTCTCCCAACCAGCCCATCACTAATGGGCATTCTCTTGATTCCAGTTTTTTGCCACTACAATAATACTTCAATAAATATCCTGATCTATGGGTGCTTTATTTCTTTTATCCAACAAATATTTATTGAGGACCTACTCTGTGCCAGCAACTATTCCAGATGCTAGAGTTCCAGTGGTAAGGGAAACAGGTGCAGTACTAGTTTTCATTGAGCTCACATTCTTGCAGGAGAAGACAATAAATGAATGAATGAACAAACAAGTGAACAAATGAACAAGAAAAATAGGAGATGATGCCATTGAGTCATATGTAGAGAATTAAAATAGGGTAATGTGATAGATAGAGAGCCACTTGGTGATAACTACAGATATTTCTTGTATGACACAGATCCCCAAATGGGAGATTGCTGGGTTGAAAGATATGTTTTTTTTTAACTTTAATAATTACTGCTACTTTGCTTCCTAAAAGGCTTATTTCCAATAAATCTCATTTCTAACAACAGAAATACAGATTTAAAAAATAAACTTTTCTTGTCTTCCTTTTTGACTCACTAAGGAAAGTTTTTAAAGATTTTTCTTTCTCTGCTAACTATGCTGACCTATTTCAAATTCAACGTATATAAATGTACATCAGCTACAAGGTAAACATCAAAAATTAACTTTATATTACTTTACGTACTTTTTAAAGCTTGTGTACTTTTTTTTCACATCTTTATTGGAGTCTAATTGCTTTACAATGTTGTGTTAGTTCCTGCTGTACAACAAAAGTGAATCAGCCATAGGTATACATATGTCCCCATATCCCGTCCCTCCTGAGCCTCCCTCCTACCCTTCCTATCCCATCCCTCCAGGTCATCACAAAGCTGTGTACTTTTATATCATTTTGTGTATACTTTGTGTACGTGTGTATGGCTATTCCTATGAAATCAAGAATATGGGTCTCAGAGAACACTCTCAAAGGAAACACGTGGATTTGTCAGTGAGCTGGGGGTGGAAAACTGTCTTGCTCCTATTCTTAATACAGATAGTGAAAGCAAACATTTTTAAAAGCTAGTTGAACACCACTCAGCTTTACAAAATAGCAAGGAAGCAAGTCTCGTAGATTGAAAAGAGACGCCTATAAAAAAAATCTTGATAAACATTAAAAAGCAACCTTGAGGGGCTGAGGTATTTCAGGAGCAGCAATCAAAAGAATACCACTGAATCCGCCACCCATAGCCTAGGGAGCTAGACTTTCCCACCACATCCCTTTCCTTATTTATAGGCCTGTCTGGTTATCACAAGTTCTCAGGGACTGTCATTATTTAAAAGACTTATAAATATGCAACAGGTATTTCATGGGAGAAAATGCAACTGAATAACTTCCAATCACCCTGAGATGCAGGAAGGAGGAGAGCCTGTCCTACTGGCTCTCACCAGTTCCATGACCCCTCAGCCATGCCAGGGAAAAGTCAACAGCACTCGGATACCTCCTTTCTGCAAAATGCCCTGTCAGATCAGAGTGAGGGCATGGCAGCTTCAATACCTAAACCCAGCCCCTCCATTTTAAAGGGCTACACGCTCTGATTTGTGCCGGAAAGCAGGGTTTTAATTTAACCGTGTTCCGTAAGCAAAAGAAGTGGAAAGAATTCTACGCCTAATCGTTGTGGGGTTTTTTTTTCCTCCCTTGAAATTTGATCATATTCCTAACTTTAGTCATACTGCCTGGTTTCCTTTCCTTAATGGAGTGAAATTTATGTCTGTGATTAGAGAATTGGCTTGGGAAAACCATTTGAGTTTTTAAAGTTACATGTTTTAACAATAATAGATATGGGAACCCTGGAAGAAAACCAGTATGTTTTGGATGTTAATTCAGACATCATAATGACTTGCTATTTCAATCCACAGTTAGTAGGTAATGGTGGTATTAGACATATTCAAGGGGGGAAAAAATTGAGTTGAAAGTTTTCAGAAGGATAGCATAGTGATAAATTTAAAATTATAGCCTAGATGTATAGCTTTTGGGCTAAAATGTCTGGAATTATTTTGAAAATAAAGAATAAGGCGACATGCATTAAAAGAGCAGCTTTTCGGGAAGTGCATTTACTACAAGCATGACATGAATTCTAACTTTCATTGACACAGGAAAAAAGAAATCAGATGTTCTTTGCTTTATGCAATAGATACGTTCCTTAATTCAACCGTATTTTTCAATGTATCAGGGAAACTCACTAGAAATGAACCGATGTGGTCAGACCTTTAGGGGAAGACGAGCAAGGCCACGAAATGCCCTTTGCCCAACACAAACACGCTAAATACCTCCTGGCTGGAGGCTGCTGGGGGTGTCTAGGAGCTCTGTCCTCAGAGCTGCACAAATCTGCATGTGAATGTCTCTACCTTCTTGCTGTGTGACTTACTGAGCCTCATCTACAAAATGGGGTGTTAGCAGTACCTCAACTTCAGAGGACATTATGAGAATTAAATGAGATAAGGTACTAATGTACATAAAACAGAGAAGACATTAATTACATTTCAGTTCCTTCTTCCTTCCCACCCAGTTTTTATGTTGGCTCTGCGATACTTGAGTTGGAAGAAAGGACTCCCAATGGAAAAAAAAGAGGTGGATGTAGGGGTGAAAAGGAAGAGCTGCCTGGGAGCGGCCTGTACTTCACTTGGAAAAACAATCTCAATTAAAGAACCAAAGAAACACCACCCGTATCTGAAGCATAACCTGTGGACAACCCTCTCTTGTAGCACAGAATGCTTTTTCTATATGAATAATTGCCTCCTAATGCTTTTTTTGGTTTTTTGGTGGTTGTTTTTTTTTTTTGCGGTACGCGGGCCTCTCACTGTTGTGGCCCCTCCCGTTGCGGAGCACAGGCTCCGGACGCGCAGGCTCAGCAGCCATGGCTCGCGGGCCCAGCCGCTCCGCAGCATGTGGGATCTTCCCGGACCGGGGCATGAACCCACGTCCCCTGCATCGGCAGGCGGACTCTCAATCACTGCACCACCAGGGAAACCCGCCTCTTAATGCTTTTAATTTCTAAGCCTTTCTGATCAAGGCGTACTTAGTCATTTACATAGCTGAGATGTTATAAATATGTAATTTATGTCACCCACTTCAATACTGTTCATTTAAATGCTACGGGCCTAGGATACTGTTTGTCCCCAAACAAGTATTAAAATAGTTATTAATTCTAACAGCATGATAGCCAAAAAAAAATTTCCAAAATATCATAAGCATAGCAAAAACGAAAAGCCAAATCTATGCTCGCAAGCGGTTATTTAACATACAAATTCTAAATTCTTAACTATCACGACAGCATATAGCATTCTCCATAACATGTAGGAAAGTACATTTGAGAAGTCTAAGTGACTCCTGAGGCTTCTTAAGAGGTTAATGACGTTAAAAATACAGGATTAAAAATTGTATAGAAGTATTTTCTGGCTAAGAACTTTCATTTTCGTAGACCCTCACTTGCCATTTCCATCAGTCTCTCGGGTGACTTTGGGTGAAGGTCCATTTTTCACAAGGGACCAAATGTTGATCACTTGACAAGAGCTGCGGGCTGCATCCGTCGGGACGCATGAAGAACCGCAGAATCACCCTGAGGCGCTGGGCACTTTATTCGCTGCAGAAGCCACTTGTTCCCACACACGGGATGAAATGTCAGAGCTTTGGGCCTGACGGAGATTATACACCATCATGGGCTTTTAGGATACCTCGTGAGTAGGTGAAATTGCCAATATTATCTCCCTAAATGCCAAAGGCCAGCACTACAGATAGAGGAATCAGGATGCAATTAATCACACCTAGCACAGACAGGAACTGAGAGCAAGTAAGACATGTTTTAAATCAACTTTAAACCTAGTGTCTTTTGCAGGCATCTCGCTTTTTTTGAACGCGGATGGGTAATAGTCAGACACCTGTGGGCCATCCATGCCCTGCCTTAAAGAGACCGGTCTGATGATAAAGCGGTCTTGACTTCATTCAACAATCTAAATTACCCAATCTCCTTACATGGTGTGAGAAGTCATTGGGCAAGGAGAATTTTCAAGTTCATTTCTTTCTTTGTTCTCCATGTCCCTGAGATCTACCTACAGAGCCTGGTTTTCTAGACCATTTGCCACAAGTTGTTTCTTTGTTTTTGTTTTGGTTTTTTAATTATAACTAAAGACTACTGAAATATTTGAGACTCTTTTTATTCCACATTGTAAAAACAAATAATCATTCACGTAAGTTAGAAAATCAATTCAGTAAAGAGGGGGAAAATTATACAAACTCGTGATTTGCGTAACACAAGTCCACACAACTAGACTGTCTCCCATCTTCTTTTAAGCTTTTAACTAGTTCTTTTGGCATCATATTTAGATGGTTTTACACAGCACCAATCCTCTAATTAAAATATTTAAATAAGATTTCATACTAACATGGCTTTATCCTAACATTTCTTAAACGAATACAGAAAAAAAATCCATTAGAGTCAATTCTCGGCTCCCCATTTCCACCAACATCCACTCCATCACCACTGCCAGCCCCAAACTGCTTTATTGCAGTGGAATTATGTTATAATGTTAAATTGCTATAATTCAAGTTTCCAGACTAGAGGAAAAGCAGCCGTAGAGATAGTCGTTCTCAGGCGAATTAGCAAATGAAAAGAAGTGTGTTGTTGGAAAAGTCAGGGAGCTGGGGAAGGAACTCCCACAGGCTGTTTCCAGGCCCTTTTACCCACCTCTCACCCCCATCCCTCTGTGTCTTCCTGGGGTTTTGTTGTTGTGGATTTAAGCGTGTTTGAAGTAGTGGGAGGACAATTGAAAGGTGATGGCCACTTGGTGCTGGGGCTAAAGAACCTTGAAGAGTTCAACTCGGGCTCCCACTACTGCCCACTCCGTCTCTCTCCTCAGCTCCTAACGCCCTCCATGCTCAGCTGGGTCCTTTCCAAGTAAAGAGTGGCTGAAGCAGGGACCAGAGAAAACATTTCTGGAAGATAATTCCTTGCTGTAGAAAATGAGCTATAATCAAATCAATAAAGCATCATTCCTATGAGCCTCCACCTGACATAGAAATTACATTGTTCTACTGAACACTCCTTTGAAATGAGATGCCATCGCTCCCCACATCCCTTCATTGAATAAAGATTCATTCAGAATTATTACGTGTCAGGTCCTCTGCCAGACACAGGGGGGAGACACAAAGATGAAATGACAAAATGATGAGCCCTGCCCTCAACGTGCTGGGAAGGGGGTGGTGGAGGGAAGGAGTATAAACCCTAACTTCTCTTTGTAGCTCTTTTTCCCCTTTAATCAAGCCCACATGTTTAACGCAGGGGAACTGAATGTGGTGAGGAGGGAAGGATTATAAAAATGTTCACTTTCATCCTACAGATATGAGAAAATAAGAACATATTGCCATTACTCGACAACTTTATGGCTCCGAATAACGCCAGCACACAGTAAATCAAGGCAGCCTTGCATGGGCTTCACCGAACGGACACCTCACGTTTGCTCGGGGAGGGAGCCCCGATGATGCCAGCCCAGTGCCCGGCTGCCCAGGGCCCCAGACGGGAGGAGAAAGGGCCGAGGAAGACAGGAGCCCCATCTGCTCTCAGAGCCAACAAAAAGCCCACCAACCCCCAGGCCCTCCACAAACCTTCCTTCTCTTCTTAAGAAATGACAGAAATCAGGAAATATTACTTCAGCTTGCAGGCTTCTGTCCTGGCCTATCAAACCCACAGAGAAGTCCCAGCAAATTACTGGAAACTGCACTTTGAACTTAGCCCCTGGCAAGGAGCCCAGTCAAACACAAATGTAAAAAGTTCCTCTCCTCCGAGGGGCCCCTGCGCCAGGGTGTCCCCATAGACACTCGGAGAGCTGATTGCAACAGGTTGGAATGAGGCCCTGAGTCAGGAAAACAAGCCCTGACCAGTATGATTTCCTACTGCCTGTGTTGTTTCTCAAAAAAGTTTTTTTTGGCTTCCTCTCCCTCGTTTTGTTGGACTGGGTTACAGGCTCAGGTCCCATCGAGGAAAAGATTGGCACCATTTTCACAAAAATGCTGGATCGTGTTTGGTTCCCAAACTGCTCCATCAGCCCCGCTGGTAAGTCGGGTAATGTCAGGGGACAGCAGGGGTCGGGGGACCGGTCAGGCCAGTTGCTAAGCAAATTCTCTGAGCTCCTAGGGCCTCCAGAAGTAATTAGCTGGTAAACCCTGAGGATATTTCCACCTCCCACAGGGAGACAATCTTCCTCTGACCACTAGACTTCACTCCACGGTGTTAAAAGACACCAACAACAGGGGCTGTCAGAGCACAAGCACCTTCTGCCGTGCCAGGTCCCCTGGCTGCTTCTCCTTCTTCAGAGGAAACGACTAAAACATGGGCCTCTTTCTAGCTCTGTTCTATTTCTAAGAAAACTCAATTTGCACACACAAATAAACTGACTCATTATAAAACTAAGAGGTCAAAGAGAGACAGATAACACTGAAGGTTAGACAGCTGGAGAAACAAGCCTCTATTCCAGCTGCAGTGGGAGCTCCTTGGAGGAAGCAGTAAATCCCCGGGGGACCCAGCAGCGACCTGCGAAGTGGAGAGGCTGCCCTCCTCCTCCACTTTCTGTCAGATCAAACATTCCTTTCCCCGGTACCGAAGCGGATGCAAATCACCGTCAGATCGGCCAGCAGTGACCTAACTCTCCTAACGTGCAGTTATTCTAACTGCTTTCTCATAATGGGGCTTTTCCCTATGATACTTGTATTGTTTCATAGGCAGGGTATGAAGAGTGCAGTGATCTACGCTTCTGATAATTTTATAAAGAAAATTCCCCAAAACGTGTTTTTTAAAGCCCTGTGCTCTCTCTACGGATCTCGCAGGGATTGCTAGAACTGCTTGTTCCATCTCTAAGCCCACAGCTTCCCCCCTTCCCTGACCTCTGACTGACCCAGTGCTACAATAACCAACAGTCAATGAGCACCACACAATTCCCCCCCAAAATGCTATTGGTAAAGTCTCCCTTATAAGGCACTCCTGGCTGGCCCTGGCATATTCCAGGGTGCTTCCCAGAGCTTGGGCACTGTGATTGTTAAAGCTGAACGCTACCATTTGCTCCCCCTCTCCTACCTCCCAGTGGTTCTAGGAGAAGTAACTCAAGAAGAACAATACACCCAGATCCCATATAAAGTCTATCAAGATGGTGCGTTCAGGTGAATCGCCCTCTCATCCATGCACTCAAAACGCATTTATAATGATTCTCCCTAACAAAGCCAATCTTACCACGTAGATCGCTCTCAGGCGCTGTGTCCTCATCTACAAAGTGACCTGGGAGAAAAGTACCTAACACTTCGGGAGGTTGTCCCAATAGATGGCCAGTGTGAGCGGTCACACTCAGCAAAGGGGAGAGGCCCAGGGAATAGCTGGAAAGAGGAGATTTGACGCAGGACAGGAAGGGAGCCTCTGGTGCCTCCCAGGAAAGTGAAGCCTGCCAGTGTATGAACCTCCCCCCATGAGAAAAGGGCAAGAACAAACAGCAGTGTCAGGAACTGAGTTTGGTGGATATCAGGCATTAGAGCAGCGTGCCTTGAACTCAGGTGTCACGAGAAGCCCCAGGAATGCTTGATCAGCGGGCAGACTCCTCAGCTGTCCCCAGCTTACTCCCAGAGGTTCTGATCCACTTGTCTGGTCAGGCCCCAGGGGATTCTGATGCTGGACATTCATAAACCACAGTTTGAAAAACACTAACTTAGAGAATGAAAGGAAGAAGAGGATCAGGAAGGGTGAAAACAGAGAGGCGTGGAAGGCAGCAAGAGACAGTCTAGAAAATGGAAGAACCAAGATGGTGTAGCAGTAGTTCAGAATGTAAAAAGAAGACAGGGGCTTCCCTGGTGGCGCAGTGGTTGAGAATCTGCCTGCCGATGCAGGGGACACAGGTTCGTGCCCCGGTCTGGGAGGATCCCACATGCCGCGGAGCAACTGGGCCCGTGAGCCACAACTACTGAGCCTGCGCGTCTGGAGCCTGTGCTCCGCAACAAGAGAGGCCACAACAGTGAGAGGCCCCCGCACCGCGATGAAGAGTGGCTCCCGCTTGCCGCAACTAGAGAAAGCCCTCGCACAGAAACGAAGACCCAACACAGCCAAAAATAATTAATTAATTAATTTTAAAAAATCTTTGCATACAATGTGATTTAAATAAAAATAAAAAATAAAATGAAGAGAGTTTGCCAAGAAGCTGGGGCGGAGGGGCGGTGGTGGGAGGGATAACGGGGTGGCCAAGGACATTTTTTTTTTTTTTATATTTTTGGCTGCATTGATTCTTCGTTGCCACACACGGGCTTCCTCCAGTTGCCACAAGCCGGGGCTACTTTTTCTCGCATGCGCGGGCTTCTCATTGTGGTGGCTTTTCTTGTTGCACAGGCTCTAGGCACGTGGGCTTTGGTAGTTGTGGCACACGAGCTTCAGAGCACAGACTTAGTAGTTATGGCGCATGGGCTTAGTTGCTCTGCGGCATGTGGGATCTTCCCGGACCAGGGATCAAACTCGTGTCCCCTGCATTGGCAGGTGGATTCTTAACCACTGCACCACCAGGGAAGTCTCCCAAGGATATTTAGATCTCCAGCAAGGCCTGAGTCTCTATAAGACCAAGTCTCCATAAGACAAAGATAGGAAGTAGATTATTTTGGTTTATTCTGTTAAATGCTCAAAAATACAATAAACAAACAAGCATTCTTAAATTCGTATGATGCCAATATGAGGTTCAAGTGAAAATATTCTAAAACTCAAATTAACTTTTTCAGAAAGACAGCTTTATTCAAGCAATATGGACAGTTGGCTGCCTGGAGGTATACAACTAAATCGCCAGGATCTGTATACTAATAACAACAGGTGATGCAACTGTAACCATCCACTTCTTCAATTCATTAGTTACATTAAGGACCCAGACACATGTTCTAAGCCAAGGAGACACAGAAAGCTGGAAGAACTGAGGTTGCAAAGAAGGCCTCCGTCTCCATTCAGAAATCCAAGGAACCAATGAATTTCAGTTGTGTCAAATCACATGGAAGACTAGAGCCATGTGGCTGACGACTAGCCATGTGGCTGATGACTTAGTGAGGGGAAAATTCAGAGCGCTTCCCCACCAGAAAACGTCCTGGTGCCAAAAAGCCTTCCCACCCTCCCCCACTCCATCTCCATTCATTGGACCACAACCACCTTTTGAGGACAATAGAAAAAATTATTTTTACTTACCCTATAAAGAAGGCAATACAAAGATCCACAGAATATAAAGCAAAGGGATGAAAAACAGGAGAGAAGAGATGTCCAGGAGATCCACCGTGTGACTAATAGGAATTCCAGAGAGAGAGAACAGAGAATGTAGCATGAAGAAATTATCCAAGAGATAATACGAGAAAATGTCCCATACCTGAAGGACACAAGTGAGGGCCCATGAAGGGAGCATCACACTGAATAATAGAAGATTTACAGCAGAACACGTCAGTGTCAAGTTGAGAAGATCCTAAAAGCTTCCATAAAGAAAAAAGAGGTCACAAATAAAGGATCAGTGGTCAGGATTGCTATCTCACTCCTCAGCAGCAACACCTTCACCCAGAAGACAAGAGAACAATGCCTTCAAAATTCTGAAGGGAAGGGATATCCAAAATCTAGGTTTATATAACCAAGCATACTAGTAACTAACACTCTATAGGACACGGAGGCTGGGTGGACAACTCTCTCTTCTCTCACTGAGCATGGCTTTTTTAAGGCCCCCCACCCCCAGCTAGGGATTATCTGGCCCAGGTTTTCTCTATTAAGGAGCTGCTTTTGCCCAGGCGAGATGCACTGAGCGCTCTCCCCATAATACCTGATGCTCAGTGGATTTAAACTCTGCTGCCTGACCTCACAACCCCTTGCCTTAATCTTTACCTTCTTGACCACCTTTACTAGTAACCTTGCTATCTGTCCCCACTCCCCATGCAATTTGGGCCCTCACCTCCACTTTTTTTTCTTTTTTTGGCCACACCATGTGGCTTGTGGGATCTTAGTTCCCTGGCCAGGGATTGAACCTGGGCCCTCAGCAGGGAGAGCACAGAGTCCTAACCACTGGACTGCTAGGAGATTCCCTCCACATTTTCAACGTAAGCTTTTCTCCAGGACCCAGAGGTGCTGCACACGGCGCTTTACGTACACCCCTCCTAAATGCAAGGGCAGCCCCACTTAGCCTGTGCCACCCTAACAGTGGACCCAATGGAGGCTCAGAGCAAAAGGGAAATAAGGGCACCTGCTACTAAGACATGCCCCGGGACGACAATGGAAGAGTGTTGTGTTTTGTCCGTATTTGAGCTCTCCAGTGTGGAAGAACACACAGGGATTCTGGGAAGAAGCTCTTTTAAGAAATAGGTATTTTCCCAGAACATCATCCTTGTCATAACTCTCAGGATCCTTAAGCCTAACGATGGAAAAGAATCTCTGTGGAGCTCAGGTTCAGCAGAGAAGACGTAACCCCGTTGCCTTACTCCATCATATTAACAGAATGTCCCTAAATAACAACATGTGCCCCAAAAAGCATCTGAGGCTTTAGGACATCCTAGATATTAGGATTTTAAAAAATTAGGTGAACTTCCTTTCTATTTGGAAATGTACAATACAAATTGCCCCAAAGCTCCAGTCCTGGTGTACCACCAGCACCGTGCTCAACCTGTCCAAAACCTAATTCATGACCTCCTTCCCGAAAACTCCTCCTCCAACTTCCTTATTTCATTTACTGGCATCACCAGCATCCCTTTCACATGCTTCTAAAATTGGGCGTGTTCTTTGCATCCTTCCACGTGCTCACACCCAGCTGATGAAATCCCGTCAAACCTGGAGAGTCCTGTTGGCCCTCCTCTGCATGAGCTCCCCCTCATTCCCCTACCCACCTTCCCAGGGTCACTCCAGTTTCAGGTTCTCGTTCCCTCCACCTAGTCCATAGCTTCCCAACTACTGCCACTAACTAAATGAATCCAGGGCAGAGTTCTGATCATTTTCTGTAGCAGAGACCACACAAAGCTGCCTTCCAATATCCACTTTCCCTTCTCTCTTAGTAACAGAACCCCGACTTTCAGCTAGTCACATCCCTGCCCAGAATAAAGTGTACATTTCTTAGGTTCCCTGAAACTAAGTGTGGCAATAAGACTCACTTCTGGCCGATGAGATGTAAAAAACTGGGTCGTGAGGGACCGCTGAGAAGGCTGATTAAAGGGAGCTGACTCAGCTGGGATGCGTGCCCTTTTTCCTTTACACTCCTTCCAGCCTGCAATGCAAGCATGGTGGGTGGAGCCCAGCACCCATCGTGGGCCATGAGGTAACTGTGAGAAGGAAAGCCTGCTTCGCTAAACAGAAACGCAAAACACTAGGAGGGGTCTGGGTCTCTGATGGCTGCATGGAGCTCGCGTGCCTGCCCCAAATTCGCCAATCTTGAAGGATCTTATAGAAGGAAGTAACTCTTCTCTGCTGAAGCTACTATTTTTCAGGTCTCTGTTACTCACAGCTGCATGCAAAACATAACTGACCAAATTTTGCTCTCAAAAATCATTGTTGGCACCTGAATTCCAACGAAACAGTGTCCAGATTGGCCAAGCTCCCATGGCAATCCCAAATCTGGACCGAAACTTCTTTTCCAGCCTTGTCTTCCAACTTCTGTCCTTCGTGCAATTTATAATCCAGCCAAACGAAACAGCTGTGATT